ATTGGTAGGAACGCCCCTCTGAACCAGGAAGGGCAGGGAAACGTTGCTGACAACGTCCCTAATGACCCCATCGTCCATGAAGAGGATGTTCAGGAGGTCGAGCTCGCAGCGGCCGATCTTCGCACTCAGCTCAACAGGACTGCTCCAGATGCCCGCATCGGGCTCGAGGACAGACGCGCTGCTGATCGCGCTTCGGGCCAACAGGCCTCTCACCATGTTGTTCCCCAAATCAACCCGGCAGCCCTATCAGCCATTGTCGCCAGCATCCTCCAGGACCCCAACGTGGTCAGCGCTCTTGTCGCGAAGACCGGGGAAAACAACACTCCGGTGACTGGGGAGGTCGCAACGGTGCCACCACCGCCACCCCACCCGCTTGGCGTCACCTTCTTTGGCAACGATGAGGGTGTTGTCGCCGTGGACACCCATTCCCATACCACCTCTCCTACCCGGGATACACCGGCTCAGCCTCGCGGTAAAATCTCGGCCTTCAACATGCTGGGTGACATCGTGAGCCGTCGGGTACCTACGGGAAGGGTTGCGGATCGGTTGGGTGGTCGCGAGCCGGGATCACCTAAGGAAAGATTCGGCTCCGTCTCCCAGACAACGGAGCGGCCCTGACATGACAAAGGCAAAGGAAAGCTGGATGACGACGATGTGCGTCACAAGATCAACCAGGCCCACGCGGCCCGAATCCATACTCCGCTAGATGGCGCTGCGGCCACCAGGGATCCTAGGGACGAGATCATTGCCCGTCTCGAGAAACGCCTCGCTGATATGGAGGCCCGGGAGGCCGCAGGGCGCACAGCGGCCCATACATCCCAGCATCCCAATTACGATGCACTTCTGAATAAGGTCAGTGCCCTAGAGAGGGAGTTGGCCGACCGACGCGACGAGCCCGTCATCCAAATACAGACTAGGACCCCCTTCTCTGCGAGGGTGCTCTCCGCCCCCATCCCAGAGAAGTACAAGGGGAATCCGATCAAGCCATATGACGGCCATACCGATCCTCAGGAGCACTTCACCCGCTACCAGAACAATGTGATGATGACCAACGCTTCGGAGGAATACATGTGCCGCTGGTTCCTCTCCATCTTGGAAGGACCAGCGTATGATTGGTTCAACAACCTTCCGGAGGCAAGCATTGACTCGTGGCAGGACCTGGCCCAGCGCTTCCTCACCCACTTTGTCGGGAGGAATCGCATAAAGAAACACTTCGCTCACCTCCTCACCATCAAGAAGCAGCCAGAGGAGACGCTTCGCGCTTTCCTCGACCGCTGGATGAGGGAAGCGGATGAATGTGAGGGAGCCGATGAACGCACTCTCCTGGCCTTCCTCCGTGGAGCACTTCGGCCGAGCCACTTCGCCCGGAGTCTGTTCACCGAGCCCCCGCGGTCATATCTCGCGGCACTCCGACGCGGAGACAGGCACGCCGACGCCGACGAGCTCCTGAGCCAGAAAAAGGGTGGGGAGAAGCAACAAAAAAAGGACTCCTCATCCAACCCCCACCACGCGCCGGCCAACAAGGATCAGAACCAGAGGAAGAAGGCGCGCCAGGAGCCCGGCGGCCAGCGAAGGGAAGATCGCTCGTGGCGTCCGAAATTGGAGGCACAACGTATCCCCCTCACCCACCCGGTGAGCATCATCCTGGACCACGCCGAGGAACAGGGCCTCATCGTGAAGGATCCCCGATCGGAAGCAGAGATATTTGCAGTCCACAAAGGGGGGACGTATTGCAAGTATCAGCGCCAGACATCCCACAAGACCGATGACTGCACCACTCTGAAGAGGCACATCGACGGCCTCGTCTGACAGGGGAAACTTTCCCAATTTGTCAAGGGTGCCCCCAAGAGCAACACTTGGGTTAACCCTGGAAAAAGGGGGGAAGGATCCTCCGGGAAAAAGAGGGAGATCGGCGCCGTCAGTGAAGACGAGGAAGAGGAAGAACCCCGCCCGAAGAAGCATCACATTCATATCATCGTCGGCGGAAACACAGGGGGGGACTCGGCTACCCAGCGGAAAAAGTGGGCTCAGTCCCTGTACGTTCGTGAGGTGTCCCACGCCCCCCCAGCCGAAGCGACGGCATGTGGAGGCCATCACCTTCACCGACAAGGACCTCCCCTTCGGTCCTTTGCCCCACAGAGACGCCCTCGTCGTCAAGTGCGAGATTGGCAACAACATCATCCACCGCAACTACATCGACACTGGCAGCTCCGTCAATGTGATGTACGTTGATACCTTCAGGCAGCTGAAGCTGAAGAAGACCGAACTCAGGCCGATACGGACTCCGTTATCCGGCTTCACTGGGGACTCTATCGACGCCGAGGGCACGATAGTGCTTCCCGTCGTGGTCGGTGACGGTACCTATCAGGCGAAGATTGACATGGAGTTCGTGGTCGTCAACCTGGACAGCGCCCACAACATGATCTGGGGCCGACCGGCCTTGGAGGACCTTGAGGCCATCATCTCTATGAAACACCTATGCCTCAAGTTTCCCACCAAGGACGGCGTCGGCTACGCCAGAGGAAACCAGAAGATAGCCAGGGCTTGCTACCTCAAGCTCACAAGGAAGATTAACGAGGCCGAGGAGCGGATAGACACTATCACCACCGCCTCGGCCGAAGAAGACACGCCAAAGGCCGAACCGGTCGGAGACGTGGAAGAGGTTCCGTTGGACGTCTCTCGGCCGGAAAGCGTACTGAAGATAGGGACGCAGCTCCCCCAACAGATCCAAACGAACATCCTCTCCGTCCTGAGAGCGTACGCCATTGTCTTCGCATGGGGACCTGAGGACATGCCGGGCATCAGCCCAAAGGTAATCACGCATCGGCCCTCAGTCGATCCGGCATCCTCCCCCATCAAGCAGAAGAAGCGCTACCTCTCGGCCGACAGGAGGGAGTTCGTCAAGGCCGAAGTGGCCATGCTGCTATCCATTAGACACATCAGAGAGGTGAAATACCCCACGTGGTTGGCGAACATCGTCCTCGCACAAAAGCCGCCCATGTTCAGGATGTGCGTCGATTATACCGACCTGAACAAGGCGTGCCCAATGGACCCGTTCCCTCTCCCCAACATTGATCAGTTGGTGGACGAGACGGCGGGGTGCGAGTTGATGTCGTTCCTCGACGCGTTCAGAGGGTACCACCAGATATCAATGCATGAGGATGACGCGGAAAAAACTGCTTTCATGACCTCGGAGGGAATCTTTTGCTACCTCGTCATGGCCTTCGGCCTCAAAAATTCCGGCGCCACTTATACAAGAATGGTAGCCCGGATTTTTAGAGCAGTCTTAGGCCGGACGATGGAAGCATACATCGATGATATGATCGTCAAGAGCAAGCAATCCACAACTCATGCCGACGACCTCCGGGGCATCTTCGAGATCATGAAGAGATACAACCTCTGGCTCAACCCAAAGAAATGCACCTTCGGCGTCCAGGGAGGTAAATTCCTGGGGTACCTGGTCAGCCGAAGGGGCATTGAAGTGAACCCAGAGAAGATACAAGCCATCATCAACATGGAGCCACCCCGCAACATAAAGGAAGTACAATGGCTGACGGGACGCCTCGCGGCCCTGAACCGTTTCCTTTCAAAATCGGCTGAGAAGTCTCTCCCTTTTTTCCAAATAATGCGGAAGGCCACCAGCTTCAAATGGACGACGGAGTGCCAACAAGCCTTTGAGGAGCTAAAACAATATCTCGCCTCCCCACCCGTCCTATCCAAACCCCAGCCCGGCGAGACTCTATTCCTCTACTTGGGAGTGAGCACGTTGGCCATCAGCTCTGTACTCATCAGGGAGGATGATGGGGTGCAAAAGGCAATATTCTACGTCAGCAAGACGCTGCGGGAGGCCGAGCTCAGGTACTCCCCCATTGAGAAGACGGTGTTGGCCATTGTCCACACGGTGAAGAAGCTCGGACACTATTTCCAAGCTCACCCCGTCCACATCCTCACGCATCAGCCGTTGGGTGCAATAAACAACGCACCTAAGGCCGTTGCGACCCACAACGCGCCTACAAAGCTGTTGCCTAGACAACGCACCTAAATATCGTATCGGCACAAGCGGTGAAACACCCAAATCGGCCGACGATATGCAGGACGAAGGACCTGTGTGTATGGTCCGACGTCTTCAAACGGAGAAGCATACCGCGTCGTCCACGCGGAAACCGCAGGACGACAAGCCTGAATTAAGGCCGAGGTTACAAAAACTCCACCCATTAGTAAAATTTCGCTCAGGACCATAAAGGGCGGCCGTCAAAAGACGATGCCTAGTCCGGTCCCTCGTCGACGATAGACGTGGAAAGGCCAAAAAATATGCCACTGACATACCAAGCTGAGGGCGTATTTACTCCCTCGCACTAGTCCACGCAAAAAGCGCAGCGGACAAATTACCGCACACGGACGAAGGGACATTAACCCTTTGGCACCAAAAAAAAAAAAGAGGGAAGCCGACGGACCGCGCACTCGCCGGCCTCGAGCATAAAATAAAATCCCCACAAAATCGGCTAAGTACATATCAGATTTCATCAAACAGGAACACAAAGTACACACTTCGGCCTCAGCCATGACATCATAAGATTGAATCGCTTCGGCTCCAATCATACGAGACCACATTCCATTACTCGGACGATGGGTCGCATCGTCTACAAGTGGTCAAAACCCAGGTGATCAACCGGAACAAAACACTTACATCTAGGCAAGTTCGACACTTAACCTAATCTCCAAGTCACATTACCGCTAAGATGATGCGCTACCAATAGGCATCGCTTCGTCCCCAACACTCCGAGACAATTCCCAATACTTGAGAAACTCGGAAAAATTGTTTAAAAGAAAAACGGAATTCACCAAGGGACGATGAGGCGCATCGTCCCTGAGGACCGCAAAGGATAGAAGATCGCTACGTCTCAATTAAGAGACGCCAACATCCTCAAAACACAGCCTTGACACTTAGAAAAATTTACAAGTGCAAGCATACTTAACTACAAAGACGATGCAGGAATCATGGCGAGGAAAAGATTGTCATTAATGGATGCAAAGATACAAAAGGTGGGCTGTCACGCCCCAGACCGCAATCCAAGCGCGTGTACAACCGCCGTATAATTAAGTGACGTCACCCGCGAGTCAACCCCACTTAATTACACAAGGCGTTCGAGAAAACAATCCATCCATACTCAGTAGTAAACATACATAACAACATCACATTCAAACCAATGAATAGCGGAAATATTCAACGGTAAGTCATAAGCCACACCCGGCCAACAACATGGGCATGCAAGCCCCAAAAATAGTTTATAGTAGAACAAATATCCATGAGCAAGTGTTCGGTAGTTTGAAAGAAAATAAGGAAGCACGAACCACGTCTTCCTGATTTGATATCACCCGTGAGAAGGTGCAAGTAGCAAGCCCTAGCTTCAACCTGAAAATGGTGGGGCCCCCCGAAGGGGTCAGTACAAGTACCGAGCGAGTAGCAGGCTAAATATAGAATAACTAGCGTTCAAGTATAAGACCCAAACATAGGGTGATACTTAAATAGATAGTCTTTCCCCCAAGTTATGAAATACTTATTAGTATATATATACTTGGAAAATATCCGATCCGTAGATCACCATTTTATTTGGGAAAAATAGTATTAGTCAATATTCTTGACTAAAAACCCCAACCCACCCATATACCTATGAGTGTATAGGACTCCTCCTTGTCCCTATTTGTATATCATAATCTATGAGTTTTAGGATCAAAATCCTCGGATACTCCACCGGTTTGTGAGTGTTAAGGCCTCATAAGTCCTAGGGTCCTCCACCGAGTTTTGAGTGTTAAGTACTTTAAGTACTAGGGTCCTCCACCAAGTTTGAGTGTTAAGGACTTTAAGTCCTAGGGTCCTCCACCAAGTTTTTGAGTGTTAAGTACTTTTTAAGTACTAGGGTCCTCCACCGAGTTTGAGTGTTAAGGACTTTAAGTCCTAGGGTCCTCCACCAAGTTTGAGTGTTAAGGACTTTAAGTCCTAGGGTCCTCCACCAAGTTTGAGTGTTAAGTACTTTTTTAAGTACTAGGGTCCTCCACCAAGTCTTCCTATGATCAACCTCCTATCAACCTAGATAGAGTCTATATCATCCTTAGTTACTCATAACTAATCCAATACATACATCTTATGTATCACAATCCATGCAAAGCCATGCATTTATATAAATGTATAATTAACTAACATCAACCGATATTAATTAATCCATCATCCATCGGTCAACGTTGTCGTTGACCGCCAATTCAAGCCTTGTACATATCAACTTAATCATCATATAATTAAGTCAATAATACTCATTTGAGCTTCTTTTACACTTCAAGCTAATGTGCATTTTATATAATTTCTCATATCATATTTCATGCATAATCAATTATTTCTTTTCATACAACTTGATAAAGTTGGCTAATCACATGTTTAAATATCTTTTAAACATCATTTTGAACACATATAACATTTATTTAGGTAATCTCATAATTAACCCAAAAGTTATAAGATATTAAGCCGTCCACTCACCTTGAACTAGCGTTATGAAGTTCTACCCTTCTTGGTTGAACTCCGGTGAAACTCCGGCGACTTTTGGTCAACTCCGGCGACAACTCCGGCGACTTTTCCAACTTTGTGAAATCACTTGAAATACCTTTCACAAGTTCCTAACAAGGTTTTATAATCATAAAACCCATGTTAATACAAATAACCTCAAAAAGGTTATTTTCCGGTGAACCGGTCGTTTTGGCTTCTAAGTCCGTTCTTGGACATAGAATCACTTTCCAACCCATAAATCCCTACTTATAACATGTAGAATCCTCTCAAGGATCCTTCACATGATATATATCTCATATGGTAGAAGAAAAATAAAGGAAAAGTTATAATAAGGTCATTACCTTAATTATTTCACACTTTTAGCACTTTAGCTCCTTTTTGGGTGATTCTTCCTTGATGAGCTTTCTTCAACAATGGAGGAAGGAAGAAGAAGAGTTTTCTTTCTCTTCTTGGTGCAGCTTGGCCGAAATGGGGGGAGAGAGGGGTGAGGCTTACCCCTTTGTCTCATTGAACAAATGAGTGTGGATGGGGGCCACCTCATTTTGTTTGATGCCTTTTAGATCATGTCAACCTCTCCCTCCCATGCTCTCCTCTTCAACCAGCCGACCAAGCCCTCAATTTGAGTGGCAAAAATCGTGGGTTGGCCCCCACTCATGTGGGAGGTCAACCCTTTTTGCCCCGACGTGTACAATTTGTCCCGAAAGTTGTATTTTTCGGACTGTTTTAAATATATTTTATTTTATCGGGTCAAATGAAATATATTATGGGCTCTTACTCATTATGACATGTATCATGAATATACATTCCCCAACTTTAATTTATAAGTCTCCGAAATTCAGTTCGGGCTGTTATCTGTTAAATTACCAGTACCGGTAATTTGGGCTTCTTTTGACCAATCGGTCAACTCCGGGCCTTTCCATGGCCCAAATGAAATATCCACCACTTATATATTTATTATCTAGACCAAGATGAATAAAATATATGGTCTCGGGAAAATCGGGCGGCCCCCGCTCCCGGTGTGGGTCCCACATGCAATTTACTATTCACGCGAAAGAGATAATAAAAATTTACAACTTCGTAAATTCGTAAATCATTCCATAAGGTTTATTACATCATTTACGTAAAAGTAAATACATTTGGGGACGGTGTTACAAGTTCACCCCCCCTTATTTGGGATTTCGTCCCCGAAATCTACGTGTCTAATCGAAAAGGAATGGGTATTGCTCCCTCATTGAGACCTCGGTCTCCCAAGTTTCCTCTTCGACTCGATCACTCCTCCAAAGAACCTTCACCATAGGAATCTCCTTGTTCCTAAGTTTCTTCACTTGTTGACCAACAATCTTCACTGGTTCCACCGCATATTGCAAGTCCTCTCGGATCTCCACCGGTGGTTTCTCAAGAATATGAGATGGGTCTCGTATGTACTTCTTGAGCATTGATACATGAAACACGTCATGTATCTTCTCAAGTTCAGGCGTCAACTTGAGTCGGTAAGCCACGGCTCCTATCCTTTCAAGGATTTCAAATGGACCGATGTATCGGGGGTTAAGCTTTCCCCTCGATACAAATCGAATGATGCCCTTCCAAGGAGAAATCCTTAGGAAGACTTCATCACCGACTTCGAACTCCAACGGTCTCCGCCGTTTATCAGCATAACTCTTCTGTCGGTCCTGAGCGGCCTTCAATCTATCTCGAATGACCCTCACCTTGGCCTTGGTGATCTCGACTAGTTCCACTCCTTCGAGTTTGGCCTCGCCAACCTCGTCCCAACACAATGGTGTTCTGCACTTCCTCCCATACAATGCCTCATATGGAGGCATGCCGATACTTGCTTGATAACTGTTGTTATAAGCAAACTCCACTAGAGCCAAATGTTTGTCCCAACTTCCTTGGAACTCTAGTGCACATGCCCTAAGCATGTCTTCCAAAATCTGTATCACCCGTTCGGACTGCCCATCCGTCTGTGGGTGAAAAGCTGTGCTAAACTTCAGTTTAGTTCCCAAAGATGCCTGAAACTTTGGCCAAAATCGGGATGTGAATCGTGGATCCCTATCCGAGACAATGGATATTGGGACTCCATGCAATCTCACAATCTCCTCCGTGTATAGCTTGGCCAATCTTTCAAGAGGATAAGTAATGTTGATAGGCAAAAAGTGTGCACTCTTGGTGAGCCTATCAACCACTACCCAAACTGCATCATAGTTGTTCACCGTTCGTGGTAGCCCCACCACGAAGTCCATGGTCACGTGCTCCCACTTCCACTCTGGGATGGTGAGTGGCTGCAAGAGCCCTGCCGGGTGCTGATGTTCTGCCTTAACTTGCTGGCAAGTAAGGCATCGACTCACATACTCGGCGATGTCTCTCTTCATACCTGACCACCAGTAACTTTCCTTCAAATCTCGGTACATCTTAGTACCTCCTGGATGCATAGCATAAGCCGAAGAATGAGCCTCCTCAAGTATAGATTTCTGGAGTTCCTCATTCCTTGGTATGCACACACGATCCTTAAACAATAACAGACCGTCATCACGTACCCGGAAATTCTCAACGGGCCCCGCAAGGATCCTTTCACGGATCTTCTGACATTCCTCATCCATGGCCTGACTTCGACTAATCTCGCCCAATAGGGTGGGCCTAACCTCAAATTGAGCAATGAGAGCCCCGCACGTGGACACCTCCACGCGTGCCCTCAATGCCTGCAGACAAGTAAGTAACGTCCCTGACGTACTCTTCCTGCTCAGTGCGTCGGCCACTACGTTGGCCTTTCCGGGATGATAGTCGATGATCAAGTCATAGTCCTTGATCAACTCCATCCATCTCCTTTGTCTCATATTCAACTCTTTTTGAGTGAATACATACTTCAAGCTCTTATGATCGGTATAAATGTGACACGTTTCCCCGTAGAGATAATGCCTCCAAATCTTCAATGCAAACACTACCGCCCCCAACTCTAGGTCGTGAGTAGGGTAGTTCACCTCGTGTTTTCTCAATTGCCTAGAAGCATAGGCAATCACCTTACCGTTTTGCATTAGTACACATCCAAGCCCTTGGATGCTAGCATCGCTGTAAATGTCATACCCTATCCCCTGTATGGGTAGGGCAAGGACTGGTGCTTCGGTAAGTCGTTTCTTCAGTTCAAGGAACCCTTTCTCACACTTGTCGTCCCATATGAACTTGGCCCCTTTCTTTGTGAGCTTCGTTAATGGAGACGCCAATACGGAGAATTTTTCAACAAATTTACGATAGTATCCCGCTAAGCCAAGGAAACTACGTATCTCTTTCACATTCTTGGGTCTCTCCCAATCCATGATAGCTTTTATCTTTGCGTTATCCACAGCTACGCCCGAACCGGATATGACGTGACCGAGAAAACCAATCTCCTTGAGCCAAAATTCGCATTTAGAGAACTTGGCAAAGAGTTGCTTTTCCCTTAGCCGATCAAGTATAAGCCCCAAATGGTGCTCGTGCTCCTCCTCACTCTTGGAGTATATCAAGATATCATCAATGAATACTATCACAAATTGATCTAAGTATTCACTAAACACCCGGTTCATCAAGTCCATGAATGCCGCCGGTGCGTTGGTTAAACCAAATGACATTACAAGGAACTCGTAATGACCATACCTAGTGCGGAATGCACTCTTAGGTATGTCGCTCTCCTTGATCTTCAACTGATGATACCCCGACCTCAAATCAATCTTCGAGAACACTATTGCCCCCCGAAGTTGGTCAAACAAGTCATCAATCCTCGGTAAGGGATACCTGTTCTTGATTGTGACCTTGTTCAATTGTCGGTAGTCAATACACATTCTTAGTGTACCATCCTTCTTCTTCACGAAGAGTACGGGTGCCCCCCACGGTGAATGACTGGGTCTGATGAACCCGTTGTCCAGTAATTCTTGTAGTTGGACCTTCAACTCTTGGAGTTCGGCCGGCGCCATTCGATAAGGAGGAATCGAAATGGGTTTGGTTCCCGGCTCCACTTCAATTACAAACTCTATCTCTCTATCGGGTGGAAGCCCCGGTAGGTCTTTGGGAAAGACATCCGGGTACTTGCACACGACCTGTACATCTTTGATGTCGACTTCCTTCTTGGTATCGTCCACCACGTAGGCAAGGTACGCGTGGCATCCCTTCCTCATCATCTTCCGTGCTCTCATCACGGATATGATACAAGCACTAGATTTCCCCCGATCTCCTTCGAAACATAACGTGTTTCCTAGATCATCCTCGAGCTCCAACACCTTGGTGTAGCAATCAACTCGAGCATGGTGCTTCTCAAGCCAATCCATTCCTAGGATTGCATCGAACTCCAACATGCTTAGAGGTACGAAATCACAAGTCAAGGGTTGACCCGTCACTTCCACCTCACATGATGGATAGTAATGATTTCTTTCCACGTCGTCTCCTAACGGTGTGGAGACTATCAATGTTTGTGTCATAGGCGTCAATGGCACGTCGAGCCCCTCGGCAAACGCCTCACTCACAAATGAGTGTTGTGCCCCGGTATCGATGAGGATCCTCGCACACCTACCATTGATCTTTAATGTTCCTACATTTATACACCATGTAAGATACCTTTTCTAATGTTTTTTACACATCTTTAGGAGGTTATTAGGTTCATACTAATGTTTGGGATCAAACGGGGGTCCAAACGTAGAAGAACGGGGCGAAAAAATCAATTTTCGGGTGTTGGGGTCCACGCACGGCGTGCCTGGGTGGCACGCACGGCCGTGCGTGCGTGAGAAACTCGGAATCCGTCACTGCCGGCTACGCACGATCGTGCGTAGCTGGTCACGCACGATCGTGCGTCCCACGCACGGCGTGCCTTACCTGCACGCACGGCGTGCGTCTGCGCGGAAAATGACCAGAGGCTACTGCCTCGCACGCACGGTCGTGCGTCTGTAGGTACGCGCGATCGCGCGTAGTTGTTTTTAGCCCGTTTCGCCCCGAATTCGCGGGGTTTGACCCCGGGGTGGCCCGCACCCAAACCCAATGACTTATATGACCCAAATAAGCCTAGAAATACAGGAAAATAAGTGTATTACCTGCAACGGAGTCCGGGTTTGCTCGCGCATCCGCCTCGGTCATTGCGTACACTCGTGCTTGGGTCCCGCCTTGATTTACGGACGCGGCATGACTTGTGGACGCGCCGCCTCTTCCCGTACCGCCGTTTGATGGGCCCGCACGGTTCCTCCCCGTCATGGTTCCTCCTCCGGATCCCGGAGCTCCTCCGCCCCCCAGTTGTGGGCAATTGGCCTTCATGTGGCCCGTGTTCCCACATTGATAACACCTCGGGGGTGCATTGCACTTCCCAAAGTGATTTTTCGAACAATTGGCACACTTTGGAGGTCCCGTCTTTTGGGAGGAGGATGCATGCCACCGAGCATCCCTGTTCTTCTTTGCTGGTGGCGTCGGAGTCTTGAACGAACCGCCACCTCCGCCGTGTTTATCCTTCCGTGCTTGCTCGGGCGGCCCCGAACTTTGCCATTTCCTCTTTTTCGCCTCTTCGGCGTCTCTCTCTTTCCTCTCATTCCATTGGGCCTCCCCGAGAAGGCCCTGTTCCACCACCTCGCTGAAGGTCATGTGACGCGAGTACGTAGCTCGGTCACGGATGTCCAAGAGTAGGGCATCCCAAAAGTGCTCCGTCATGCGGTTCTCATCAACCGCGTACTCCGGCAAGAACCTAGCCAAGGTTCTAAACTCTTGTTCCAGTTGCTTAACTGTGCCGCCATCTTTCTGTTTGAGGTTAGTGTACTCTCTCCGTTTCACATTCACCTCGTACTCGGAGTAGTATTGAGCATAGAACTCCAGCTCAAAGTCCGCCCATGTTATTTCCCCATGGTACTTCCCTTCCACGCTCTCCCACCACGTAGAAGCTATCCCTTCAAGTAGCCGTGAAGCGACAGTCAACTTCACGTCCGGTGTGATTTGCATGTCTCTTGATGCATCCTTCACCTTCTTAATCCAATCGGCGGCAACGGTAATGTCGCCGGTGCCGTCAAAGGACCTACACCCCAAGGCCCTAGCCTCCTTGAGGTACTTGGAGATTCTCACAACAAAACCTCCTTCACGCCCATCATGTGAAGCCGCGGGAGTGGACCTTGAAGCTCCCCGGCTTCCTTGACCCGAACCGCCGCGAGAGCCACGCCTTGCTTGGCGCCTAAGGTCTCTCCTCAGCTTTTCTTTTTGATACCACTCAAGCAATTCGCCCATTTGAGCGAACTTGGCATCACTCTCTTCATCATCATCGTCCGTGTACGTGTCACCCCCATCATATGGGGTCTCCTCGTGCTCCGTTTCCGGAACATATGTAGAGTCGTAGTCTTCGGTGTTGGTTTCATACACCGAGCTTACATGGCCATCGCTCACAGTTTGAGCTTGATGACCTCCACGGCTTCCACGGCCTCCACGGCCTCCTCTCGAACCCCGAGATGCAGCCCGGCTTCCCCTTTGGGATGCTACCGGCGCCTGCCCCCTCGGATTGTTCCTGGTCCTCATTCGCCTGCCCTCCATTTCTGAAAGAAATATGGATGAGTCATTAGACTCCTATAAATGTCAATTGACGGAAGAACGTTATAGACACGTATTGGCCCAAGTCACTACCATACCAATTGTTAAGGGTACCGTCTTAACAATCAGAGGCCTTGCAACTTAAGCACCAATAGTCCCATAAACGTCAAAATACAATGCTCATGGTTTTCGGTAAAAACTCTTTTGTAAGATCTTTTGTGAGAGGTTGATTATAATGTTTAGAACTGAGATGGCTCTGATACCACTTAATTGTCACGCCCCAGACCGCAATCCAAGCGCGTGTACAACCGCCGTATAATTAAGTGACGTCACCCGCGAGTCAACCCCACTTAATTACACAAGGCGTTCGAGAAAACAATCCATCCATACTCAGTAGTAAACATACATAACAACATCACATTCAAACCAATGAATAGCGGAAATATTCAACGGTAAGTCATAAGCCACACCCGGCCAACAACATGGGCATGCAAGCCCCAAAAATAGTTTATAGTAGAACAAATATCCATGAGCAAGTGTTCGGTAGTTTGAAAGAAAATAAGGAAGCACGAACCACGTCTTCCTGATTTGATATCACCCGTGAGAAGGTGCAAGTAGCAAGCCCTAGCTTCAACCTGAAAATGGTGGGGCCCCCCGAAGGGGTCAGTACAAGTACCGAGCGAGTAGCAGGCTAAATATAGAATAACTAGCGTTCAAGTATAAGACCCAAACATAGGGTGATACTTAAATAGATAGTCTTTCCCCCAAGTTATGAAATACTTATTAGTATATATATACTTGGAAAATATCCGATCCGTAGATCACCATTTTATTTGGGAAAAATAGTATTAGTCAATATTCTTGACTAAAAACCCCAACCCACCCATATACCTATGAGTGTATAGGACTCCTCCTTGTCCCTATTTGTATATCATAATCTATGAGTTTTAGGATCAAAATCCTCGGATACTCCACCGGTTTGTGAGTGTTAAGGCCTCATAAGTCCTAGGGTCCTCCACCGAGTTTTGAGTGTTAAGTACTTTAAGTACTAGGGTCCTCCACCAAGTTTGAGTGTTAAGGACTTTAAGTCCTAGGGTCCTCCACCAAGTTTTTGAGTGTTAAGTACTTTTTAAGTACTAGGGTCCTCCACCGAGTTTGAGTGTTAAGGACTTTAAGTCCTAGGGTCCTCCACCAAGTTTGAGTGTTAAGGACTTTAAGTCCTAGGGTCCTCCACCAAGTTTGAGTGTTAAGTACTTTTTTAAGTACTAGGGTCCTCCACCAAGTTTTCCTATGATCAACCTCCTATCAACCTAGATAGAGTCTATATCATCCTTAGTTACTCATAACTAATCCAATACATACATCTTATGTATCACAATCCATGCAAAGCCATGCATTTATATAAATGTATAATTAACTAACATCAACCGATATTAATTAATCCATCATCCATCGGTCAACGTTGTCGTTGACCGCCAATTCAAGCCTTGTACATATCAACTTAATCATCATATAATTAAGTCAATAATACTCATTTGAGCTTCTTTTACACTTCAAGCTAATGTGCATTTTATATAATTTCTCATATCATATTTCATGCATAATCAATTATTTCTTTTCATACAACTTGATAAAGTTGGCTAATCACATGTTTAAATATCTTTTAAACATCATTTTGAACACATATAACATTTATTTAGGTAATCTCATAATTAACCCAAAAGTTATAAGATATTAAGTCGTCCACTCACCTTGAACTAGCGTTATGAAGTTCTACCCTTCTTGGTTGAACTCCGGTGAAACTCCGGCGACTTTTGGTCAACTCCGGCGACAACTCCGGCGACTTTTCCAACTTTGTGAAATCACTTGAAATACCTTTCACAAGTTCCTAACAAGGTTTTATAATCATAAAACCCATGTTAATACAAATAACCTCAAAAAGGTTATTTTCCGGTGAACCGGTCGTTTTGGCTTCTAAGTCCGTTCTTGGACATAGAATCACTTTCCAACCCATAAATCCCTACTTATAACATGTAGAATCATCTCAAGGATCCTTCACATGATATATATCTCATATGGTAGAAGAAAAATAAAGGAAAAGTTATAATAAGGTCATTACCTTAATTATTTCACACTTTTAGCACTTTAGCTCCTTTTTGGGTGATTCTTCCTTGATGAGCTTTCTTCAACAATGGAGGAAGGAAGAAGAGTTTTCTTTCTCTTCTTGGTGCAGCTTGGCCGAAATGGGGGGAGAGAGGGGTGAGGCTTACCCCTTTGTCTCATTGAACAAATGAGTGTGGATGGGGGCCACCTCATTTTGTTTGATGCCTTTTAGATCATGTCAACCTCTCCCTCCCATGCTCTCCTCTTCAACCAGCCGACCAAGCCCTCAATTTGAGTGGCAAAAATCGTGGGTTGGCCCCCACTCATGTGGGAGGTCAACCCTTTTTGCCCCGACGTGTACAATTTGTCCCGAAAGTTGTATTTTTCGGACTGTTTTAAATATATTTTATTTTATCGGGTCAAATGAAATATATTATGGGCTCTTACTCATTATGACATGTATCATGAATATACATTCCCCAACTTTAATTTATAAGTCTCCGAAATTCAGTTCGGGCTGTTATCTGTTAAATTACCAGTACCGGTAATTTGGGCTTCTTTTGACCAATCGGTCAACTCCGGGCCTTTCCATGGCCCAAATGAAATATCCACCACTTATATATTTATTATCTAGACCAAGATGAATAAAATATATGGTCTCGGGAAAATCGGGCGGCCCCCGCTCCCAGTGTGGGTCCCACATGCAATTTACTATTCACGCGAAAGAGATAATAAAAATTTACAACTTCGTAAATTCGTAAATCATTCCATAAGGTTTATTACATCATTTACGTAAAAGTAAATACATTTGGGGACGGTGTTACATGGGCGCTTCGGCCATTACACGCACTTCAATGCTAAGACTACAAAAAACTAATGAAGGAAATAATACAAGCTATGAGGCCTCATCGGCTTGCTCCCTACCCTGGCCAGCATCTTCCCCATTGCCATCACCATCATCCTCATCGTCATCACAGTAATCCTCATCGGCCTGGGAATCGGCTGGCCCCTCGAGAAGGTAATCATCACTATCGCTCCACGGCTCTTCCCCTTCGTCCGAACTTAGGATCGGAGGCTGCCTCTCCGACGGGGGAAGCTTCATATCCTCATCAGGATTCTTCATTCGCCGAGGGAGACTCAAACCTCTCGGCCTCATCTTCCTGAAGCGACGACGAAGCTTCCTATAGATCAGCTTCTGCATCCTATATTGGCCGCAATCATAATAGGCCTTCATCTCGTCCATCCAGAAGTCCTGGCCGAAGGGGTCTTTTGTCGTCCAATCCTGGAGCCTCTCAGCCACCACCTTATAGCAAAAGGGGAGCTGGTCTTCGGCTTTCCATCCCTCGGCCATGAAGTCATCGACGGCCTTCTCAGCAGCCTTCTCGGCCTCAGCTTTAAGCCTCTCTGCTTCCGCGGCTCTCTCAACGGCAGCATCAGCAGCCTCTACGGCTTTCTTTCGAGCCGCCTCGGCCTCGTCAAGTCGGACCTGGAGAAGCTTCATCTCATCCTCTGCGGCCTTGGCCTTATCCTTCAAGTCCTGGAGGGCCTCATCGGCTGAGAGAGCCTTAGCCTCTAGTTTCTTAAGGCGTTCAATCTCGGCCTCCTGCCTCCAATGCTGCTCCCTCAGCATAAGGGCACCCTGGACGATACGGAATCCAAAATAAGGAATAGAAATAAAAATCTAACCAAAGAAAAATCACAAGTACAGGGAAGAGTGTTACCTGGACGACATAGTCCATCCCCCGTCATATAAGCGGACATGCTTGCCTTGCCGCTGAAAATATTGGCGGTCATAATCCGGGATGGCCTGGGCAAGCATGTCGTCACCACTAACGGTCTCGTTGAAGAGACCGCCCTTTACGGGATATCGTATGGTGACTTCGTACGACCCCTTAGCAAGAGCCTCCTCCAGCCGGGCAGTTGCAGCCGTAACAGGAACCACCCGAGAAGCCGAAGCCACAACGACCGATGAAGGTGGATCATTCACAGGAGGAACCACCGTCGGCT